GCCTCACTGTGGATTGTGGTGGCCACTGAAAGGTCTTCGTGAAGGTTTATCATTCCAAATCCGGTGGTTGCTTCGACAGTGAGATGCAAAGTATGGATGACGACTTGATACAGAGGGGTGGCAGTGCAGCGGCGGCGGTCACACATCGCATATAGCTTCTGGGATCGTGGAAAAGTGATGGCGACAACACATGACTGATTTGATGGTGGTGCTTCTTGAGCACCCGGTCTCGAGCTCCGGGGCAAAAGCCTAGGTGACCCGAGTTGGTTATGCCTGACAATGACGATGGTTTTACGTCGTGGCCTTGTTGAAGGCATTGCTCGAATATGTTCGGACTGATTTTTCAAGATGAAAACATAGATACTGACCTTGAGTGGTTGGATCCGATGACAGGCGATTGAGCATCGCTCCCTTTCTGAAGGTGTTGCTGTTGAAGAACCTCGTCCTTTGTGTGATGTCATAAGATGATTGGTGCGGATATGATCACTGATGTAGTTTGTAGATTGTGGATCTGATCGCTCTATTTTTTCTCGCTTATATATAGCTTTGATCTTATTTGACTTTGCTATTTTTATGGCGTATTCTTGTGTGCGTGCGTTGGTGTTGTCTGTGTGTATCCCAAAAAAGCAGAGGTCGGCTGTGCTTATTGTGTTTGTATTCTTTTGATGCTTTATTTTGAGTTAATAAAATTTATCTTTTGTCAAAAAAATCACAACGTCTGAACACATGGCCTAGATAACGGCCACCAGGTCGCTCGGCCTCAAAGAGACCTACTCAGCTGGCAGCAAAGTATATAAAGTGTACTGTTAAGTCGTAGTTGCATGTAACTCAAAAGGCAGGAAAGCGAACGAGGAGAAATGTACCTAGATGAAGGCTATCTAGTGAGGCCGAACGTTAGCTAGTCGATCTGGAAAGAAGAAGAAAGTCGAACGATTCGTGTCATCATACGATCGACATATAGTATCTATACTTTGGTTAGCTAGCTAGTACGATCCAAGTCCAACTTATATGCACAGTGAGCATTGTTAGGATTCTTACTATGCTGAATTTTGTTGAAGCACTTGAAAGCGATGATGATGTTATCAGTGATTAGTTTCCTTGGAATGAAGTCACTTTGCGTTTCTGAGATTAGCTCGTCAAGCAAAGGCCGAAGCCGGTTCACCAAACACTTAGAAATGACCTTATAGATCATGTTGCATAAGCTGATGGGTCTGAAGCTTTTCAGATTTTGTGGATTCCTTCCTTTTGGGATGAGTACAATAACCGTGTCATTGACTCCCTCGGGCATCCAACCATCCTCAAAGAATCTCCGTACAGTGGCAATGATATCTTTCTTAACCGTACCCCAGTTTTTTTTGGAAAAACCAGGCTGGAAATGTTGGAAATATGAGCAATTTACCAAATGATTTTATTAACAGAAATACTAGATAGAGCACGATTAGTATAGCAGTGATAAAGCAAGTCATGCGATTTAACAAATAGAAGGTAAAAACAGCAACTTCACATATGAACTGTAACTAAGCACATCTGGAGCAGACAGTATAGCAAGTTGCATATATGAAGTACAACCTAACACATGTAGGGCAGAAACTAGAGCAAACAACTGTGGCAAGACGTCTAACAGAAAGAGCATAAATACGTACGGGACAGCAGCAGCAGAAGCACTGGACTTGGGGTCGACGTCCTCTCCAGCCATGTCGTCGACGTCGGGGAAGTAGTCGTCGGAGTCCGTGATGAAGAAGTCAGTAGTCGCGTGGAGCGCTCCCCAAAAACCTTATCACCCTTCTCCCATACAGGACTGTGCGGTTTCGGAGGCCTACTGTCCCGACTCGCGGTGCACGCCGCAAGCCGGGGTGAGGAAGACAGCGGTAGCTCAGAGAATGAAACCGGTGGCAGCGACGGGAGGCGAAACGAAGAGACGAAGGCGGGCGCCGTCTAGTGCTGGTGCGTCCACTAGGATAAGGTGAAGGCGTGCAGCAGCCGACGCGGACCCAGAGGAGAACATGATCATCGTTTAGCCGACAGCAGTTGACGCGGATCCAGAGGAGAACATGATCGTTATCCAGCCGACGCGGCTCGGGTCGACGCGAACCCAGAGGAGAACATGATCGTCATCCAGCCGACGCGGCTCGGGTCGACGCGGACCCAGAGGAGAACATGATCGTCATCCAGCCGACGCGGCTCGGGTCGACGCGGACCCAGAGAAGAACATGATCGTCATCCAGACGTCAGCAGCCGACGCGGCTCCGGTCGTCCAAAGGCGAATCCATTACCGTTAAACGAAGCAAACCGTGGCAACACCCCAGACAAGCCATCAAACTCCGGATCTGGAACCCTTGCATGACAAAGACACTGGAGGAGGAAACCATACCTGACATCCACGTTCCACCATCTTGCAGATGCCGCCGACGCAGATCACAATCCGCATCCGCTCTCGGACTATCTCCCAAGCTCCACCACGAGGATGTTGCCGTCGCCGCCGCCGCACCGTCCTTGCTTGAACAACATGGATTCCGGACCCATTCCCAATGATAGGACTAGTCGCCTCGTCGGAGTAGGATTTGAAGAAACTTTATTTAGCGCTGTCGCCGAAGCCAAAACGATGAACAACCTAAAAAGGTAAGCTGCTTTGGCCTAAAACTATCCACATGTGTGGGTCCAGCAATCTCCCCCACCATCGATGGATGGTGCTGGAAGGCTGGCCTCTCCTGGCGGCGCTAGGTTTGCAGTCGCGTGGAGTCGAGAGGGAAAAAACACTTGGATCAAGTTTGTTGGGAAAAACATCTAAAAATGGATTTGGTATTTTCTCTACTACCTAAAAAAGCTTAACGTTCCGTCTCCCCTAAACCGTCATACGTCTTCGTCCGACTCCCACCGCCCCGTCCATCAATCCCCCCAACCCATGCAAAAAAAAATTAAAAAAATTCAATCCACCCAACCCGACATCCGATTCCCTCCGTAAAAATCGCACATGCCATTCGCTGTCTCTCCGCATCGTCAATTGCCAGAGGCGCGCGCATCTCTCTTTCTCTCTCTCTAGCACGAGCACTCTGCTGCCGCCTGCATCTTATGTCTATCTCGCCCCCATCGAGAGCAGGCAACGCCCTCGGCGATCGGTGGCCGTGACCAGAACCCTCCATCGCGCCCCTCTCTTCGGCCAATGCGCTAATCTTGTCGTCTCTCTTCACCCGCCTCCCTCTCCGCCCAGTAGCCATCCCAAGGCCACCCCTGCAGAGACCACTAGAGTCGGCCATGACTAGATGCCACAAAGCTGTTCCTATCGGCCACGACCATCTCTGCCACGCCCCTCTCCTTGCATCTCTCCACCCCCGAATGCCAATCTATCCTCCAGCTCCGGCGGGGGGTTTCTCTTCCAAATAGCAATGCAAGGCACACCTTCTATCTCGTCTCCCGTGGCCGCGGTGCCTTTAATCTTGAAGCCGGCTGTAGTTGACGGAGCAGGTCGCCATGACGAAGCGCTGATGAGTGATGACTAATGCAGCAACATAGTCGACGCCTGCCCGCTCCAAGCTCCTCGATCCCGCTACCGACGGCTGCCGCCCAGGATGTTCCGCCAATCCCGGCGACCCACTGAATCGATGTCGCCCCTTCTTGCTTCACCGTCGCCGGTGCCGGTTCACCCTACTTCACCAAAGGGGTCTCTCTGCTTTCTCGCCCGAGTGGTGCCACGATGCTCTTGCAGCCCCACGTGCTCTCCGGCTGCACTACCATCCACTTCTGTCCCTCCGTCAGTGGCTCAGTGCACACGGCCATAGATTTGCATCCATGCCACAACGGTTGCGTGTGTCTGCTCTCGATGATGCATGCTCCCTCTTGTCTGCTTGCTTCGGTGGTAAGCAGCAAAATGAACATCAGCACAGTTTGAAGGAATTGTTGAGATAATGTGTTGAGAAAAAAATATAGCAAAGAATGTCTATCAAGATACGCTTCTTGTGACATAAACATGCTTTCGCATGTGCTCCATGACAATCTAGATCCATTCTAGAAAGAAAGTCCAGATCCTTGCCGTCCTGGTTGCCAACAAAAAAAAAAGCTCAAATCATAACAAAAAAAAATAGAGTTCAAATTACAACAACAAAAAATCTCCAAGTGTACTTTTTTTGGAACACACTGCAGATGCAGACGCTCATGCACTCACCTTTATAAACGCACGCACGCACACCATATTCCTATGAGCACATCCAAAAAACTGACCTACGTCTAGGACGTCTGATGGGCTGGGCATACCATTGTTCGCCAAACCATGCAACCACATGTTAGTTCGCAGAAAGAACTCTAAGCATACTCCCGGTGCATACATGAGGAACATTGTCTTAGAGAGATTCTTCGTGTTTAACCTATTGTTTGGGAATCGTGTATTGCGTCGCAATCTTCAGTCAACTGTTCACTTCAATTATTCGAAGGATTTACTTCATGTAACGGTACTTATCTATGTCATTTAACCATCTACTTGATTCATTGGTAACATTCTTGCTACCTGGTAGCAACAGACGGTCATTTAATAGAACGGTAGGATGAGCTATGATTGATCTAGGATATGTGAGGGCAAGGAAATAATGAGACAAGGTGGTGTGGGAACGAGAACCAATGCAACCAAGACGACATGGGATGAGTACGCCATCTAAGAAGGATAGGTGGAGCAGGGACAAGGGTAGTTGGTCGATAAATAGATTAGAGTAGAAGACCTGCTATGCGAGGAGAGAAATAATCGAAATAGCTTGATTGAGGAAGGCGGTGGACACACCGACATGGTTAGAAACTACACACAACACCTTTTAATCAAATGTCACTATATCTTTTTTTTGTCGTGACAACGTAATATTACGCTCCCGGTGCAACGCACGGGCAATTTTCTAGTAATGGATAAATAATGCATAAACAACAATAATGAAAAAGAAAAGAAAAAAGGGAAGCCACGAAGCAGTCAACAGGAGTCAACCCCCATTTCCTTTCCGTCCCCCTCTACGCGCCGCGCCGCCATGGATCCCGCCGCCGACGACGGCCGCTCACCTTCACCCGTCCCGGACCCAGACGACGGCGACGGCGGCAGCGGGTGGGGGAGCGACAAGCCGCCGCCCACGCGCGCGGAGGAGGGGCGCGTCGTCGGGAAGGCCGCCATGGAACCCTCGCCGTCGCCGCCGGACTCCACCGTCTCCGACCAAGGTAGCCTTCGCCCCCTCCGCTCCCAAGCCCCAACCGCAGGCGACATCGCTTCCGATCCAGTTCGATTCACGCATTTCGATTTGGCAGTCGCCCTCTCCTCTCCGCCGGTCCCGGTCCCAGAAGACGGCGGCGGCGGCGACGACCTGACGCGCGCCGTGTCCCTGCTGTCGCTCGCGACCCTCACCGCGCCCCGCGCCGTGGATCCGTCGCCGCCGTCCTCCGCCGTCTCCTCCCACGGTCACAAAGGTACCCAGCCGCATTCCCCCCTCCTGAGCAGCTCATCACACCTGCTGCTTTGCGCGTGGTTCGACAGACTCCATTTGCCAATCCGATTGCTCTCCTTCTGACGATGAACACACGTGCGGCTGGGAACCAGATGATGATGATCTCGCCGGCGTGAACAAGCGGACGCACGCGAGGTTCCTCGTCACCCACGCCCAGGCCGGGCTCATCATCGGGATGGGTGGCTCCACTGTCGCCGCTGTCGAGGCCCGCTCCGGCGCCCGGGTCAAGCTCTCCCGCCACGACCAGCTCCTCCCCGGCACCGACCGGAGGGTCGTGCTCGTCGATGGCCTCCTCAGCCAGGTCATGGACGCCATGGAGCTACTGCTCCAAAGGCTCTTACTCTACCAGGTTCAGGTATTACATCGATCTGCCTATATATCTATCTCTGTCCACTCTTCAGTTCAGGGCAACGACAAACTACACTTGCTGCATCCCCCGACCCCGAGCAGGTGAGGTGATTTCATCCTCTCAAGTTGATCATTGCTTCTCGCAGGGTGACCAGGCGGTCGACTCTGAGCCCACGCTAGTGCTCGTCGTGCCTCAGCCCTGCTGCGGCGTGCTCATCGGCAAAGGAGGATCTGTTATCAAGTATATATGTTTTCCCTCCTATTCTCTGTCTTTTAGTTTCACGTACGTCGACTTCGCGCATCGCCTATCACGCTATGCTTGCTGCATCTCTGATTAATGAACCGTGCGTGTGTGTTTTGCCTTGTGTACCCATGCCATGCGCGCTTGATTGGATTTACCGCCTTGTTTTGCCTTGTGTGCTGCTCTTCTGGTCAGGCCATGGCTTCTTTTCTACACTAGTGTTTTCGCCATCCTTTGCTGGTCTGAGTTTCTTTATTGCTGACTTACTAGGTCATTCACTGAAGCTTCGGAAACTGCAATTCAGATCTCACCACACAACATCTCCTATGGCTTCAACGACAGGCTGGTCACCATCACAGGGCCCTTGGATAATCTATTGCGAGCAGTGTTTCTGATAATATTTGAGCTGTTAGAGGACATTCGTTATTTGTTTCCATGTGCAGCTGCTACGGTAACTCCTCCACCCCGCACCGCCCGTCTTCAGTATCCCTGCCCTGAATTAATAAAAACGAATTATTCTATGTGAAGTCGTCGTATACAAGCTAGCTGTATTAATTCGTATTCTAGGCACAGACAGTGGCCCCATGCATGACGTGATTACCCTGTTACAGCTCCTATCACATTTAATTACCTGCTCCACCGATGACTTCAATTGGACCAGATTTCAATTGCAATAGCTGTACTAGATCATCCTGTGATCCAAGTTTTAGTTCTAATCTGTACAATATATACAACAAAGGGACCAGATTATTAATGCTTTGCTTATTAGATCTAATAGGTATATCATATTGTAGTTTATTTGTCTAACCTAACCCTCATTGTAATTCTAGCCTGGAGAATGCATGCAAATTATTTGTCCAGTTTCTAGCTTAAATCTTTATAATCTGGATATTATATTTCCCAGCCTACTAGATATAATTAAGATTATAATTTTAATCTATCTCCCCCCGCGCAATTCAAGGTGGACCAACAAGGGCGATGAATGAAAATTAAATTCCTGTTCTGAACACTTATGTGCATTTGTCTGTCCTGAAATTTAGTTATGTCGCATCCCCTTGACATCAATTTCCCATCGTTTGATTCCACACCTCACCATGGTCAAACTAGAGCTCTCTCAGTCTTCATCAGCATCAACCATCAAAAAACAACATAAATGTCTCACAGGCTACACACCCTCCTAGCAGCCTACATAGTACGCCCCACGCAGTTCCAAGCCGACAGTTCACATCCTGTTCACTACGGAAGCATCTCCTTGGATAACTCTTCCCACCTCATCCAGTATATTTTTCAAAAATAATATTACTGCTAAAAGCAGTAAACTTCTCAAATCTTGTGCTTGGCCAGTTGGTACACATTTTTTCACTACACGGTTTGTCTGCCCTACACCACATCTCGTACTAATATTTTTCTGCATCAGTACAAGAAAACATTTCATCACTTAATCTCAATAGTTTTCCATTGGGTGCAGAAATGACTTTATATCGTACATAAAAAGTTTCTCATTCCATGATTCAACTCAACAAGCCAAGCTAAACTTGCTTGACTTGCAGATTTTGCTCATGTGGGCAATTTATAATAAGAGAACCAAACAGCACCTATATTTGATATGATCAAGAAACTAAACTAAATGGGCCCTCTTGCAAGCACTGCTGTCAGCTTCATCATCATTGTCAAGTTCAGTATCTGGAATAGAAGAGATTCCTGAACATTCATAATGCATTTCAACTTATCTTTGGCTCTCATCGATCAACTGTTCCTTGTTGGTTCATTCTCACCCCATCCTTCCACAAGCTTGACAATTTCTTTTTCAAGAACTTACTGCAATTTCATATAATGTATAAATTATATGTACTCCCTCTGTATTAGTTTACAGAGGGAGTACCAACTAGCAGTACGTATGATCTGTTCATCGAAATTTACTTGCATTCACTATGAAAGGTTTCTTTTCTGTACTCTCTGTAGGAGTTCCATATCAAGAAACTTGGTAAATTACAGAACATTGGCTCCCTAACTGGAATAATTGCTAGCAATGCTAAGCCTACTAATTTCGTCTGTAACAAAAAATCAAACTGACTAACATAAAGGTGTTTTTCATGCATCCTTTGGTAAATAAGTTTGAAATATCTCTTACTGTTCTTTGCATACTGGATGCAAAATTATTTTGTTTGTGAAGAACATTATTTACTGTTTATGTACAGTTAACCAAATGGTCTGGGCCTTTTGCCAAATCTCAACTTTTTTCTCTTGATTTTTTTCAGCCAAACATTCCAATGAGATCACCTGTTAACAAGGATGCCCAAGAATCTGTCACTATTGCTGTTGCTGATGAGCATATGGGTTCTGTTATTGGTCGTGGTGGAAGGATTGTCAATGAGATCAGCAAGGTATCCTTGTTCATCACAAACAGTCAAGTAACACTTTGTTTTCCCAGCCTACTAGATATAATTAGGATTATAACTTTAATCTATCTCTCCCCCTTGTAACTGAATGCGGACTGATGAAGGCGATGAATGAAAATTAAAATTCCTGTTCTGAACATTTATGCGCATTTTTTTCCTTTAAATGTAACACCCGCAATTTAGTTATGACGCATCCCCTTGAAATAAATTTCCCATGGTATGATTCCACACCTCACCATGGTTAAACTAGAGCTCTCTCAATCTTAACCAGCAAAGAACAACAGAGATGTCTCACAGGCTACACAATACGCCCCCTGCTCTACTCCCCATGCCCGACAGTTTGTCTGCCCTACACAACATATCGTCGTACTAATATTTTCCTGCATTAGTACAAGAAAACATTTCATCTCTCAATCTCAAATAGTTTTCCGTTGGGTACAGAAATGACTTGATAATTATATAGAACATAAAAAGCTTCTCATTCCGTGATTCAACTCAACAACGCAAGCTAAACTTGCTTGACTTACAGAGTTTGCACACGTGGGCAATTTATTACAAGAGATCAAAAGGGTACCTATTTTGATATAATCAAGAAACTAAACTAAACGAGTCCTGTTGCAAGCACTACTGTCAGCTTCGTCATCATTGCCAAGTTTAGTATCAGGAAACTAAACTTCACTAAATTGTGGGTTTGACTTTGAACTGTTAATCTGATTTACATGTGCAAATTTGTGTCATCATGCATGCTTTGGTAAATAAGTTTGACATATCTCTTGCTAATCTTGCATACTGGATGTAAAATTATTTGTGGAGAACATTATTTACTGTTTATGCCCGTTAACCAAATGGTCTGGGCCTTGTGCAAAGCTGCTGCAAAATCTCAACCTTTTTCTCTTGATTTTTTCAGCCAAAAACTCCAATGAGATCACCTGTCAACAAGGATGCCCAAGAATCTGTCACTATTGCTGTTGCTGATGAGCATATGGGTGCTGTTATTGGTCGTGGTGGAAGGAGTATTAATGAGATCAGCAAGGTATCCTTGTTCAGTCAAGTAACACTTTCTTTTTCTACTTGCGCTGCTCATTGCCCTCTCCTGTGGTTAACTGTCTAACATGAAGTATCTGTACAGCATGCCTGGAAAAAAAAATTTTGACCAACTTCTCCAGAGGTGTTGCATCCTCCTAGATGAGTTGTGTTAAGGAAAGATGGTCTTTGTTTGGGTTACTGTCGTCATCTGGTCCTATATATATGCGGTGCTTAAGTAAAGCAAAGTCACTTGCAGCAAGAAGAGGGTAGTAGTAGTGTTCCTTACTCGTGAACAGTACTGTATATGGCACCATGCATGTGGGTTTTCTATGTAAGCTTGCACCAATATAATGGGAAGGTATATATTAAAGAAACTGAAGAACTGGACTAGCGTGTGTCGATCACGCGTACAAGGCAGGCAGAAGGTTCTCTAGTTTGTCAGTCATATGATGGTTTGTTTGGGTCATCATGAGATGTGAGGCCTGTTAAAAGTCGTTGGCATTCATTAGCCAAGCTCCTGTCCCCAACAGAGCATGTGCACTAGGAAGGAAGGAACATGCGTGCATGGTGCAGTAAGTATTATTCCTGAATGGTGGTTTAATTGGTGTTGAGGTCTTTTTTTTTTTTGGCTTTCTCCTCTTCTTATCAAACTGATATACATATGTATGGGTATGGCATTCGATATTTTGCCTGACCATGATAAGTTGTTTGGATTTCAGGTTAGTGGAGCATGGATTGACATCTCAGGCAAGGGGGAGTTCATGCCCGGGACTCGTGACAGGTAGCGTTTTGCTGTGCTCAGTTTCTGTTCTTTGTGTGTGTTGAGTTTGCGGAACAAGGTCGCCTGTACCGTATGTATGTAACCTAATAACATTTGGTGTGTGATGCAGGGAGGTGATTATGAGGGGCACATCAGAGGCGATCCGCGCAGCCGAGGCGATGATCATGCACCGTGTCTCCGTGGCCAGCGGCAACTTGATGGGGCGGAGGGTGGAGGGAACAAGCGTCAAGGGTCTGCTTACCAGGCTGGACGAGGAGGAGGAGGATGATGATGCAGTCGTGCAGATGCATCGGCTGAAGTTGAGTGATCGGACAGAGTAGATAGTCACGGACGGACAGCACAGGAAGGAATCGAACCATTTTTAGAGTTTTGCGTCTCTCTCTGGTAGAGATAGATAATCAAATCAATCGCTAGTAAAAAGGATTAGTCAGGTAAATGGATGATGGGATCACTGATGATGATTCACCAATTTTCCTGTTAGCATTGGGATTTTGCATGTTTTGCTGCCTGGAGGATGGATGTATGGATGGATGATTTGGGATTTTCAACAAACCAAAGGTGTTTGATACAAGTAGAATCTTATCTCCCCTGCTGAATGTTGCCTTGCCCTCCTTGATGTTTCTTTTTTTTGTTGTTGTTGGTTCGATTGAATTTGCAACTTAGTTTAGATGATACCTATCTCCTCTCTTCATTTTTGTAAGTCGTTTTAGACAGCTGAAATTGAACTATATGTTTTAGGTGCTGTCTTAAATGTCTAAAACGTTTTACAAAAGTGAACTGTTTTAGGTGTTGTCTTATATAAATGTCTACGACGTCTTACAAAAGTTTTTTTTTGAATGTGGGGGAGGGAGGGAGTATTTCTTTTCTTTTTTAAATAAATGTGGGGGAGGGAGGGAGTATTTCTTTTCTTTTTTAAATAAATGTGGGGGAGGGAGGGAGTATTTCTTTTCTTTTTTAAATAAATGTGGGGGAGGGATTTAATTTCATCCTTTAGAATTCCTATGCACTGCCTTGCCACACCAGAATTTCAATTGGTCCAACTAGCAACACGTTAGCTGTTGTTCAACACTGCAAATTTCATGGATTTTACTCATAACATGTTGCCCTCTTGTTTCTCTTATATTGTTCTGATTTTTCTGTGTTGCAAATCTTGTCAGCGCCCTTGGGTCCAAACTACTCCCTCCCTCCGTCCTAAAACGCATTATACTGTAGGATGGAGGGAGGGAGTAGTTTGTAAGACCGCTTGGTCCAGCGAGACCTCCACCACAACAAGCCATGTGTTCCACCCTATAACAATACGAAACTACTCTGCATACGATTCATTTTCCCCGTACGCCGGTACGACGTGTTGGACGGGGAATCCATCGTACGTTCATAACAATATTACACCCCCTTTGTAAGACTAGTATCGACGTGCGCCATCACCACCGCGAGCTTGTTCTGGAACTAGTTGCCACCAGATCCCTCCCCCTTCCCCATGTCTCTATCATGGCTGAGCACCCAACGACATGTCGCCACACAACGTCATAAAGCCAAAGACCAGCACGTATGAAGGCCCAAACTAATTGTACCATGCCTAGTATGTGCAAGAACCCTTCCATCCTCGCTCGAGGCGGAGGAGGGGAGGGGGAAAGACGGGCCGGGGACAAGGAAGGAGAGAGGGGAGGGGAATGAGAGCCCAATGCAAACATGCATTTATTTACAACCAGCAAACAACCAGATTTGTCTCAAAAAAAAAGA